ATATTATCGGCATTATGGTTCGCTTCGTTTCTTCTCTGCTCCTGGCCTCTTTGGCCTCCACATTCGCTTGGGCCGACACTATCAAGTGCGACGCTAATAACAAATGTCCGGAGAAATACCCTTGCTGCTCTCGTGAGTTCTCTTCCATATTCGAACATGGTGTAACGCTCGTGCTGACGTTTCTCCGTTAGAATATGGTGAATGTGGAACTGGCGCTTACTGTCTTGGCGGCTGTGATCCCATGCAGTCGTTCAGTCTTGATTCCTGCATGGCCGAGCCGGTTTGCAAAAGCAAGACCTACAAGTGGGACAACCTCGACAGTGCTGCGCTGAACACCAAATATCTTGGTAACGCGTCGGCGTCCGACTGGGTCTACAGCGGCTTCCCCAAGGTCGAGGATGGCAACCTGATCCTCACCATGCCGAAGAACAGCGTGGGCACTTTGTTCGCAAACAACCACTACGTCTGGTATGGTAAGATCAAGGGTAAGGTAAAGAGCAGCCGTGGCAAAGGTGTCGTGTCTGCTTTTATCCTGCTTTCGGACGTCAAGGATGAAATTGATTTCGAGTTCGTCGGCTACGACTTGGATAACGTCCAAACCAACTACTACTGGCAGGGCGTCCTCGACTGTAAGTGATTCGTCTACCCCCAAGGTTAGAATAACTGACACTCACGCTTTTGCTTAGACAACAATGGCGGAAAGGCCCCCACGGGCAGCAGCACTTTCGACGAATGGCATGAGTATGAAATTGACTGGAAGCCCGAGGCCATCACCTGGTCAGTTGACGGAAACGTCAAGCGGACCCTGACTCGGGAATCCACCTGGAATGAGACTGCCAAGCGCTACCAATTCCCTCAGACCCCTTCGAGAATGCAATTGTCTCTTTGGCCCGCCGGTCAGGCAAGCAACGCCGAAGGTACCATTGAGTGGGCTGGTGGTGAGATCGACTGGGACAGCGAGGATATCAAGGACAAGGGCTACTACTATGCGGAATTCGGAGAGATCACTGTTGAATGCTATGACCCTCCGTCGAACTCGGGGGATGGCAAGAAATCGTACATCCTCACGAACAAGGACGGTCTTGAGGGCTCCTTCAAGCTCACCAACAACGACACTGTGCTCGCCTCTCTTGGTGCGACCGGTCTCAACCCAGATCTCGGCGCCAGCTCCTCTTCGTCCTCGTCTTCGAGCTCGTCCACTGGCAACAGCGTTCCTGAAAACCGCGGTGGCTCCGGTAATGAGCCTGGTGTAAGTGGCTCCAACAGCACCAGTAGTAGTGGCAGTGGCAGCGGCAGCGGCAGCAGTGATTCTGGATTCAGCCAGGGGAGCAACGACGACAGCAACAACAGCAACAACAACTCGAATGGCGCCGCCTCTGCGAACGAGCGTGTCATGAAGGGTTCCTTCTTCGCCGTCTTGGTCGCTGTCGTCGTGCTGGTTACTCTATGAACCAGTGACTATTAATTTGGGCCCTTGCCTTCATTCTTGAATATTCTTCTCTTTCTTTCTTTCTTTTTTTTCTTGGGTATATAACAACACTTACCCCCATTCCATACCCACACGGTTTTGGTGTGTCCTGTTAAATTTACCTTCTATACATGGCGGTCCCTCACTCTACATGTCTGTCGCCTTATACCAGTTAACTACTTTATTCTGATTGGACGTCTTGATGCTCTTAATGATCGCGCGTGGCGATGCCGCAAATGACGCATTGCATGCCGTTTGATACTCATTCTAATACCCTTGTTTTGCGTTTTGATGCTAGTATATGTATTGTTAATTGATTGGCTCGGTGTCGGATCAATGAAGATAATTTTCTCCTGGCATTCCACTTTTATTGTAATACATCTGCATGTTTCCTTTACATTGCTGTATGTGCTTTCGTTTTCCCTTCAACGACAGCACTACTTTTACAAAGCTCTTTCAACGACAATCATGGCAGAACCTTCATTCCTGACCATAACAACGAACACAAATCATACCTTTTGTTTTATATTCATGCTAAACATAATCCATCCAATTCCAAATAAGCCACCAAAGACACAAACACTCCATACCTACCGAAACCCCAAATACAAGATGAATCCCACTCAATCCCTCCGCATCTCCTTAACCCCCAAATATCTATATCTATCTATTCAATCTCCCACCATCCACACAAGAACCCAACAAACCAGGCGGCTTAACCCTCCAAAGAACAGAACCAAAACCACCATCACCGTCAACAAAGAAACCCATTAAGAAGGAAATAAAACCAAGGAAGAATAATGTGTTACTACATCCAGATCTCCTACCTGGGCTGTCCGCACACGGAGTTCGAAATCCATCAACTGTGCTATAACGTCCTCGAGCAGCTTCAGCGGATCGATGATTCCCGGGAATCGGACGATGAGGTGCCTTTTGAGGTCCCCGATTGTTGTCCTGATGGGGTTGATTGGGCGTTTGGGGGGAATATAAAGGGTGAGAGGGTTAATGAGGGGCGTTGTTTTGGGTGTTTGAGGGGTTGGTAGGTGGTTTTTTTTTTCTTAATTTGTATTTCTTCGGGTTGTATGAGTAGTATTTCCTTTCTTGGGGTACTTATAGACGGGTGTTGGTTGGCGTTTGCTTAGGGTTAATTGTGATACATACGATCTATTTTTGAATCCCTGGCCATTGTTGATACTTATTGGTTATAATGAGGTTGTATATCGAATCGCAAATTATAGAGATATCATTCTCTTCACAATTTCACTAAACAGTACATCTATAACCAAAGCCGAAACCAACATATATAGAACCGTAGATCAAGCCCAGAACGCCAATTCTTAGATCGCTAGATGGATTGTAGTATATTAATGCAGCTCGCCGCAGCCACATTCCCTCGTGTCAAGGTCCATGGAGCGCTTCTTGAATTCTCCATGGTAGGTGTCCAAGCCCTCCGTGCGGACAGCTTCACCCAAGGGATCTCCCAACCAGCTGAGAGATGTGGAGGTGGAGGGTTCGATTTCAGGCTTCCATGTCCACTCGCTAGGAGTTTGAAGTCGTTTGGTGACGTCTTCCACGTCTACTTCGAGGTAGTCAGAGAGGAAGGCTCCAACGTCTGTGTTCTCATTGTTTCCCACCAGACGCCAGGCGTCCTTGGTGGAGGAGGCGTAGATGTTCACGTCGACGGCTAAACCATGTGTTGTTAGCTTGTACGGTTACTAATGAGAAGACAGGGGAAGGGGAACATACATGAATGTCCATGAGTGGACCACCCAATCTGGGCCCTACGGCTGATGATGTCGGCAAACACGTAGTCAACCTTATAAGGCAGCTTGGGATCAAGAAGATGGTCGATTTCCTCATCCGTCGCATCGCCAACGCCCAGGGATTTCTCTAAGAGTTCGCGAGCGAATTTTCGCTGGGACTTAGCATCCGTATTCTTGGAGAGATATTCCTTAAGCGCCGCGCCGGCAAACTCAGAGGAATGGCTGGCGTTGGCCAGAACGCCAGGCAACCATTTGTACTCTGGATAATCGTCATGCAGCTGTCGGGCCGCGGCCAGACCCCCCGTTTCATGGTCGGAGGTACTGACCACTACTCCTGGGGTGGAATCTTGCTCCAGGAACTCGAGGACAGCTGCGAAGGCCCGGTCGTAAGCAAGGACTTCGTGGACCTGTGCTGCGGGGTCGTTTCCGTGTCCGGCGTGGTCGATGCGAGAGCCTTCGATCAAAATGAAGAAGCCCTTGTCGCTGTCCGCGGTGGCTTGGCTGAGGGTCTTGAGTGCGGTACGGGTCATTTCTTCCAGGGATGGGTACACGCCATCCTGGCTGCGACGGTCGATTTCGTAGGGGATGTCCTTCTCCGCGAAAAGACCCAGAAGCGGCAGCTTGGCTTCCGAGCCGCCGTTCAGGGCATCGAAGCCCTTTCGGTCGTCCAGGTAGTGGAAGCCCTTTTGGCCTGCGATCTCTACCAAGTCCCGATCATCGCCACGGCAACTACCTTCCGTTGAGTTGGGGAGGAAATGGCAGCGTCCACCACCGAACATCAAATCCACCACCCGGCCTAGCGGGTGCTCGCCGATCTCCTGCTCCGCGATACGATCCTCATATTGGCGAAGGTTAACATGCGAAGCAAAACAGGCAGGGGTAGCATCCGTAATCCGAGTTGTGACGACCAAACCGGTCTTATAACCAGCCAAGGCAGCAGCCTCAAGCACAGTTCCACAAGGCGAGTGGTTAGGCAGCACGGAGATAGCTCCATTGTAGCTCTTATGGGCGCATGAGAAGGCAGTAGCACCGGCCGCCGAATCGGTGACAAGGCTGTTGCTGGACCTCGTCCTGGAAGTACCAATAATGTGTTCATCCAGCACCAGTGTCTGGTCCACGGGCAGTCCCTCCGTGAATTGTCTATAGTTTCTAGTCATAGTCAAACTAGTGGGTCCCATTCCGTCGGAGACCATGAAGATCAAGTTCCGCTTGCCGGTCGGCTTGCCTCCGGGGCCCCAGGGCTCCTTCGCGTTATGGTTTTTGCTCGTCTCATGTTGGTAAACCACGGCGAGGACTATCACAGCGATCGTAGCAATGAACGCCCAAGAGAAGAGACCGACGTCTTTCCAGAAGGCCCATTTGCTGCGTTGCTGTTCGCGGTGGGTGCGCTCGCCTGTTAGTAAGGCGTCCTCCTCTTCTGCATTCCGAATCGAGGAGTGGTCGGAGGAGGGGCGCGGAGCCAAAAGGGGCTCATCTCGCGCCATGGCTGACGGACTGCCTTCAGAGATCGACTTGGGGGATTAATTGCAATGTAAATGGATCATGGACATCGGATAGAGGGTTTTACGAGAGCGAGGAGAAAGGGAGACGGTGAGGAGAGATCGATTCAGGTGAGTTGGGGTATGGACTTGGCACGGGACTTTGATACGTCACGTTGCCCGGGACCTGAAACTGCCCGTATTTAGTTAGTCTATTGCATACCTAAGTCGAACTATTGGTAGATCATTACGGAAGTCGATGCGGGAATTCATGAGCGTAGAGAATATTAGTACTCCATACATGACATAGTTATAATATTACACAGTCCCAAAATTTTATACAGTGGTACAAGATCCCTCCGAAGAAGAGTATCTACCGTCCCTTCCACCCAATCGGAATCATAGCCGCCGCGATCTCAGACACTCCTCTTTCAGTCGCGAGCAGATTGAACTGCGCAGCGGCATTCCTAGTATCCAGAACCTCAACCCGAACACCCAAGGAATTGATTTGTCTCCTTGTCTCAGGGGAAAGAGGAAACACAGAAGCGCCCATCCCAATAATCAAGAGGTCTGCCCGTAGCATTCAATTAGCAAAAGCTTCCCTCAAGAAGACACACAGAGAGAACGATAACACCTACCCGGACGAGGCCATACGAGTCCCAAAAGACCCCAAGCTTGTTCATCAACCTCAAACTGGCCCTTCTTGTTCACCATAGCATTCTTTCCACCATCCACCGTTGTCCACGGTCTCCATGAGAAAGCCTCGCCTCCAACAAGCAACAGACCATCGCCGTTTGTGAGCTTGAGGCCATTATCCAAATGGAATCCATTGTCCAGGCAAGCATCAATAGCGGTAGTAGGCGCTGGGATGTTGCCGAGTACGTTCAGCGCAGCAAAGTCCGTTTGCGTGTCCTCTGTTGACTGCGGGCCCCGATCGTGGCTCGCTGGCTTCGCGGTGTGCGCGCGAGGAACCATCCGTACGGGGCGGGCATTGTTACTGTTGTTGCGGTATGTTTGTACATAGGGGGTGATTCTAGAGATGGGAGATACTGAGCGGACGTTTGTGCATAGTCGACTGGTGACATTGGGGGCCCAGATGGATGTGCGCAAAGCACGGAGTAGTTGGGGCGATGGAGGGTGCATTGTGATGATGTGGATATGGTTGATGTCTGGGGATTGAATGGTATTGGCCAGTCGAGTCAGGACGTAGTTGTAGGGATCTGATCAAGGGATCAAGAGTGAAATAATGCGAGTGGAGATGGAGATTTAATCTAGAGTTACGATGATCGATAGCCCGTGATGTAAACGCTTCCTTGGAGCCTTAGGCAACAAATGCTGAGTAAGACCTAACGGTATCGACCATCATTGGTCCATTCAAGTCAAGTATGTACACCATCGTCTAGTCTAGGTATACTTCAACATTGCACCTTGGAAGTTAGCCCTCGTTGAGCTAAGCCTGGCGAGATCCATGTGGAGATATCAACATCTATATCTACAACAGATCTTTATCACCAAATAGCCGGAGAAGTATTCACAAATATTGACACCCAAAAACCACCATTATGCTGCTATAGACACTTTTTCACCTGTTCCTTAAGTCTTTTTTTTGATGCTGCCGCAGAAGTTCCTCCTCTTGTTTGAACGTCCAGTCATATATCTGGTCATCTTTGAACCCTTCACGCTGAAACAGACCCCGGAAATTGTCACGCAAATAGGCGTAGTCAGGAGTCGCCTTCAAAAAGATATGCAGGAAGTATAAATTGAACGCTGGCGGCAGGTCTTTGCAAAGCTTTTCGACACGTATATTGCGCTTCATCTCAGCCACGGCTATCTGTCTCTCCCAGTCTGTGCCAGTTGGTGTCCAGAGCCTCTCCCACGGAAGGTGGCCTTTGAGTAATCGGACGAGCACGTATCCTAGGCTTTCCATGTCATCGCGGGGTGATTGCTCTAGATTTGATTATAACCCTTTTTTCAATACAACAGAAGCGAAAAAGAGAAAAAGAGAGAAACGTACGCTTCGCATAATGCGCCCGCCAAGCAGCATATACCTCTGTCCCCTGCAAACCAATGCCAACCTCAGGATTTCTCTCGCATTCACGCCTATCATGACGCTCCCGCTTCAAAATCTGATGGTCACTCATTGTACTATACCTCTTGACTAAACCCAAATCAGCCACATACACCATATTCGCTTTCTTCCCAACTCCTATCAGCAGGTTCTCTGGCTTAATATCTCGATGGACGCAGTTTCTCGAGTGAAGCTCCTGAAACCGACATATCAACTGATCTGCCAGCAAGAGCACCGTCTTTAGGGAAAATCTGCGCCCACAGTCCCGCCACAGATGGGCCAGGCTGGGCCCCAGGAGTTCAATGGCCGTGGCATGGTATCGTTGATCGTGTCCTGCCCAGTAAAACTTCGGGACTCCCACGAGTCCGGCCAGATAGCGGTACCCACTGACCTCGCGATGGTACGATCTGTAGCCCGCCGGCTCATGGTAGAGCTTTATGGCTAGCTCTTTGCCGGTTTTGTGGTCTCTGGCTTGGAGAGCTGTCAGGTCTGTAGGCCTCGTTATTATTGTTGTTAAACTGGGCTGTACCTATGTATACACTGCCTTCGCCGCCGCCAGCTATAGGGCGGATTAGCTCGAACCTGTTATTGATGAACTTTTTCTGCGGTGGAGTCTCTATCAGAGGATTTCTTAGATGTGGAAAGGCCAACATACCACTGGCAGCGGTCCCATAGTGAAAGGTCGATAGGTTCTTGCATAAGTTGGTGTAGGTGAGAGATAGGGGTGGCTACATACTTTATCATACCTGGCAATTACTCGGGACTATGTCTCTTTGTTGAAGAAGAATAGGTTTGTTATCCTGGAACGGACCTGTTCCCTCTTTATAGTGTGGTGCTTCAAAGCCCTCCGTGATACCGGCTCAAAGAGCAATATTCTGTCTTCTATTACTATGGTCCTACAGAACAGGATTGCACGCATAGAACAAGAGATCGGTAAATGCCGAAGCAAACAAGTTCACATCGATTGCAACCGGAAGGTATCGATGAAGAAACTCTCAGGACCAGCCTGATCAATCGATAAGGATGCATGATCCGTTCAGCGTGCGGTCTTCTGCTGCAACTCACTGCAAGCCAGCAGCTTCATATCATAAACGCAGTGCATAACTCCCGGCGCATAAGTCTTCACTTGTTCGACATGGCGACATTCCGCCGGTGCAGCAACATCCCGCATCCCAAGAGCTTCAGCCCGCAACCTCCCAAACTCCACCGCGATAAGCCCCTTCTTCTGCTCGATCTCGCGCACGTCCACATTCTCATGCACATGGACCCAACCCCCCAACTCCGCATCAACCATCCTGCACGCATTCCCCCAAGCATCAACAGACGTCGGAAGAAGCCCTAAGTTGACATGACGAATGCAATTCCATTCCCCCCTCCCCTCCATAACATCACGAATCTCCCTCAAAATGTCCGCCGCAAACCGATTATCCCCATGAAAGAGAACGACCCGATCAGTATCCTTCAAACTGCCCACCAAATCCAGCATACTCTCACTCAGCCCTCCATCCTCCTGGACCCTAACAACCCTACACCCCCAACCATTCTCCTCACACCCACGTCGAAGCCCCTCAACCGACCAGCCATTAATCTCCCACCCCCAAACCCGCCTCACCCCCCGTTTCAGATACGAAAACACAAAATACCCGATCCCAGCATACATATCCACAACACCCACATCCGAAACGGCCTGCCCACTTAACTGGGCCACCTCCAGCCCCTCGAACGGGGCCCCGTGGCCCAAAACCCGCGCTTTCTCCGTAACGTTCCCGCGGGAGAACATCGTATAGAGCGGGGCCCAGATCTGCACAATCCCATGGTTCTGTATCGTGCGCACCCAGACGCCCGTTCCAGGTCCTCATCGCTCGGCTGGCCCTCTTCACCAAGGGGAGAAGTAGTACTAGTAGCACCAGTAGTAGCAGGAGGCCCAAAGTCGCCGTACAGTGGGACGAGGCCAGCGGGACTGCGCATGCGGTTCTCGTGGCCTTGCGTGTCTGTGGGCGCGATGGGCGCGTTGATGGCGATATGCGTTACGCCCATGCGACTGAAGGCCTTTACGAGTGAGGCGTAGAGGGCCTGTTGCTGTGGAGCGGTTAGGGATTGGTACAGGGCGCTCCAAGCCGGGGGGCTGCTGAAGGCGTTCACGGGGAGGAGGAGCATGGGCTCGTAGACCGTGAAGCGTTTTGGGAGATTGGATTGTAGCGTCTCTGGTGAGAGGCCATATTGGGACAGTGTTTCTGGGGCGATATTGTTTCTCACAAAGTCTTGGATGCCAATCTGGAGCGGGTTGAGCGTCTTGGGGGATGGCCTCTTGCTGCCTTTTTCATGGCGAGTGGGCTTCTTGATGGTGGGGGGTTTTGATGGGGGTGTTGTTTCTTGGTCCATTGTTGATCTTGGTGTTGGGTTGGGTATTTGCTGAGTGTTGTAAAAGTATAGCAATGGGTGTATTTCTTGTTTTTTATACGCAATTACTTTGCGGTTGCATGTTATGTCTGGGTATATATATCGTTGGTGTTCAATGGAGGTGTGATCTGGTAGCAGACACACAATTTCCCCACAGATAGGCTGATAGCTCTGCAGAATTGCGAGCCCAGAGACTCTGTCTTCTTGTCTCTATTGTATAGTTGAGTTCGGGGTATTTTGTTAATTATTACAGGTATCGCCAATTTTTTGATGATATTTTCCACTTTCCACTACCTGTGTCATGTGACTTGCATCTACAAGACGGTATGCAGGAAGAGAAGAAAAATAGTTACGTAGGTCTCCTTAAATAGCTTGATTACTTGGTAAACTTGTGCCCTCGTATCCGGCGAAGAAGTGCTGATATTATAGATTCTTAATACATCTTTGCATCAAAGGAAAACCGCTATGCATTCTGAAATGCGCACATAGTACAACTTGCGAAGTCCTTGTGGAACTTACACAAGGCCCATCCTCTACCGAAACAGAACAATGTTAATGTATGAATCTTCGTCTTCATATTAGGATATATTGAGAATGTGGGGTGAATGGAGTGTGGCACCAAAGATAGTCCGTGAGATGGCTGGGAATAACAGAAAGCAAGTGGAAACAGCCAACGCTAGAAATACATTGGATGCTTCAGAATGGGAAAGATGAGACGATGTGTAACTAGATGGATGATTTATTAAAGAAAGTAGATAAAAGTCAAACCCGCTGTTGTCAACAATGGTTACAAGGCACAACGCGAGAAGGATGAGAAGGAATCGTAACGAAGGTAAGCTCTTAGTGAGTAATACGGGGAAAGAGGGTCAATAATCCGTCACGGAGTATCCTAGCCTATCATTTGCGTCCAGTACGCTGGCAGTCAAATTAGCACTGTTAATGGGGCCGAGCAGCAAGGAGGACGTACGAGTATTGTTTGGTTAGGGTTCCTTCTCCACCTTTCGAAAGATCGATGCTAAAAACGTAGAAGTTGCCATCGCTGGTCACCACCATCACTTGGGGCGTGTTGTTGCTCATTGCTACAACGCTTCGCAAGGGACCGGTGTTGCCATTACCCCCGGGGCCGGGATTCGACTTCGGAAGTTTAATCCAGGCAAAGTCTCGCGCAGGTTCCCACATCTCACTAACACCCTTTGGAAGGTAACCGCCCACCTTGGCGGCAAACGAGCTTCCAACAGTTTGTGAGGTTCGCCGAATCATGCCCATCAGAGTGCCATTATGTTTCCTGGAAGGGAATTCGGAGGAGTCTTTGTCACCACCGGTTTCATCCTCATCTGGAGAGTTACTCAGAGAGCTCTGACTCATGGTTCTTTGGGGAGCCGAATGCGACGGTAGAGAATTTTCCGAAGATTGGCCCTGACTCAACTTGAACAGGTGTATGGTTTCGGTGGAGGATGAGACGCAAAGGAGAGTAGAGGTCGTGTTGAACGACATGCTGTAGATCCTGGAAGGTATCGAGCCTCGCCTGAATTGATATAACTTGTGACCGTCAGGCACGGAGAAGACCCGAATAATAGTCCCTTTATCAGAAGCGGTAGCTATCAGAGTGCCATCACTGTTGAGCGTTATGCATGCTAGTGGAGATCGATGGGCTTCTATGACATTAATTGCTTCTAGCTTCAGTGTATCGAATATCAGTACTTCGCCGCTTGTAGGTGAAATATGTGTGTTCCCGGGAGCGCGTGGGACGGAGGAGTAAAGGACGTAGGCGGAGCCTTATGTGGAAGAGGGTATGCGAGATAGCAATTATCAGAGGAGGGAGACAGAGCACAGATTGCTGTGAGATGTTAGAACCAGGGCTAAATCAAAGATGCTAAAACATATGAACCCCTACCACTAGGATTTGGAGATGTCTCGATAGTATATAGAAACTTCATGGTCTGGATATCATAGAGATAGATCTGGTCTTCTAAAACGATGACGAGCCGTTTCCGGTTCAGTTTAACCGCCAGGACAGTGGTGGGAAACGTCAACTCGCATATTGTGGATTGGCGCTATAAGGACGGAAAATGTTAGAATAGATTCTTAAGGTCATTAAAGTCACAGGCAGTGAAACTCAGTAGAGGCTGGGTGGTTCGAATGGCTTGATTCTTCATACGGGAGGCGATACGGCCCTGGATTTGCATGCGCAAGGGTTCTACGAACCTTTGTATTAGTGATTTGCAAGCGACGTGGTGAGAGAATCAACGCGACCAAAGATGTTGAAAACAGCATCTCGATTATAGCAATGTTCCCTTCCTTGGTCTCATAGCTCTTGGCGAAAGGGTCTGTTGTGAATATGCGAAACCCCTTGGCAGTCGCTGCAAGCCGTTAAGAAACATCCTGGGAAAGAACGAAACGACTCAAGGGAAGTGCTTACCCACAGCCAAGTAGCTGTAGTCCTGGTTGAAGGTCACGAAGTTCATTGCCATCTTGTCTGGAGGCGACGAGTGGAGCGATGACGTCCAATCCAGTCCTCTTCTCTAAAGTGTACTGTAGGGTTGGAAAAGCGACAAAACAGTATATATATCTTCTGAAGATTAAATAGATAGAGCGGCAAGACCGCGCTTCCTTTATTAAATCAATAAAACTTATTGTTCTTTGAGCGGAGGGGCACAACCGATCCCATCACAGGGCAGCTTCACGTCACTGACGATCGTCGCCGGACATCTCTCGTTCTCAAACGGCGTTCGCGACAAAGCTCCACGGTGAGTTATTCCATACAAGGCAAGTATGCACGGATGCGATCGCCGCTGGGCGAAGAAGACGTTGGAAAACAAACAGGTAAGTGGAGTCCGGGGGATCGCTGAACAACAGTTCGTTCTGCCGCGGTCTGAATGCGTCAGGCGTCAGGCGCGGCAAGCGAGCCATTCATCGGACGCTCGGGCCACATCTTGTTCTTCAGCGGGTAAAAAATATTGAAAGGCGGGCGCTATTTAACCCACAGAACAAATCCATGCAACTTCCCTCTCCACAGTCCAGAGAAGGTCATTGCACCATGGGACCTACAAAGAAGCCAGCCATGGCTGGAGTTAACTCTAAGGCTGAGAGGGAAGCCGACTTGGTTATGGGGGTGAGTTTATATGAATTGCTGCGGCGCTGCGCACATCTCCACCAGTTGTTCGTTTAGTGTCTATCTGCGCCTAACTATACTAGACAAATAACAGCAGTATTGTCTCCAAACGGAGTGTCGAAATGCTCTACTACCCCAAGCCTCATTTCTTTCGCTACTTCGTCAAGAAACCCCAAAGACGATCGCCTTTGATCAACCGCGAATATTGGCTGCGCATGCACGCGGTGGCGGAAACAGTGCGCAAGTTTATGAGAGAACCATCAGACAAACCTAAATTTGTCTTGAATCTGGGATGTGGATTGTGAGTCGTAGAAAAGTCCCCGGGAAGTCGGGCGATCAAAAAGGGGACCGTATACTAAGTTAGATTGTCGTAGTGATCCCCTCCCATACATGCTTCTCAGTGCCGATAACGACCTGTGTAGAGACACGACCTTTGTGGATATCGACTACGCAAAGCTCATGGTCAATAAGAAGAAGGCCATTCGCCAAACCAACGAGATAACACAACTACTCGAGGATGTAGAATTCCTACCTGACGAAAATGCCCTGCAGATTCGCAGCAAGCACTATGTAGCCATCGGGTGCGACCTGAAGAACCTCACCAAGTTGGACGACGTGCTTAGAGCAGAAGTCCTGCCTTCTGAATGTGCAGTTCTTTTCCTGGCCGAAGTCTCTCTGACGTACATGGACGTCAAATCCGCCAATGCGGTTGTCAGCTGGGCTTCAAGGCTAAACAATGGTCAGAATAACCCATGTGCATGCTTGTCTAAACATACCGACGAATAAATGCTAACTTTTTAAGTGAAGATGCTCAGTTCTGTATACTGGAACAATTCTGCCCTGATGGCCCCGACCATCCTTTCACTTCGACAATGATGAAACATTATAAAAAGCTCGGAGCACCTCTATACTCGATCCACGAATATGCCTCCCTGAACGAACAGGAACAGCGCTTCAAAGACGCTGGCTGGAAACACGCACATGCTCGAAGCCTCTGGGACCTTTGGTCGGACGATGAATTCGTGGACAGCTCGTTGAGAGCGTCACTTGATGCCATTGAACCTTTTGACGAGTGGGAAGAGTTTGCGCTTTTTGAGTCTCATTATTTCCTTCTGCACGCGTCCACTAGGCCTCAGGTCTCGGATAATGCCACAGAAACAGTAACCAGGCTTGATCCGCAGACGGATAAATCTGGTCATTTCAGATTACTCGCCAAATGCCCCCCTGGAAGCGGTCAAAGACGGTTCGGAGCTGTTCTTCCCGATAGTGATAAGGCTGTGGGACATCACTCTGGACTCGATCGTCAGACTCGCTCATCATCCACGGAACTCTACACCAGGGCGGAGGATATCACCAAACTCATGAGTTCCCTCCCGGAGACATCCCTGCACGGATGTGCCATACAGTGACTGGTTTAAGCAACCAAGATTGCCTTTTAGTTGGCGGCAGAGCTTCACCAGCATCCGGGTTCAAGGATTGTTGGGTCAGGCAAGGGAACCAGTGGCGCTCGACTCAGAGCCTTCCGATCCCCCGATTCAGACATAATGCCGTCAAAGTTACTCTTGATTCTGAGTATGTTCTCATATATGGAGGTAAGACTAGCGATGGCACAACATTAAACACTTGGTTGGCGTGGAGCAGCAAGCAACAAGGCTGGCAACAAGTTGAGACCAACGAAACCAATACCAAGGCTCGATTTGGGGCTTGTTTGGGAAACATCGACGACAATTCAGGCGTACTCTTTGGAGGAATTGGGGCCGAGGGAAATATTTTGGGGGATTTCTTCACCTGGAAGTTGCACCAGCGGAGCGACGGGTCTTTATTCATGGAGCTGACCGACCACACCGAGGACTTGCAGAGAACCTCATCCTTATTCAATGAAATCCATCGATTTGGAGCGACTATCAATCAAACAGCGTGGGGACTAGTCATTGTTGGTGGTATTGTTCCTCGAGAAATCATTACACATGACAAGGAAATTATGCTTCTTGATCCGACAGAGTTAACTAGATGCATTGCCAATGGGTGGCCCTCAAACCACACCGTCATCTCGGCGCTAGGGCTCGGAAAAAGACTTGACGGCCCGAGGCCCTTACTGGTAGGCCATGTTTCCTGTGCCATTGATCCTAAAGAGGTGTTGATATTGGGCGGTGGAGCTGTTTGTTTCCCATTTGGAACATACTGGAACGAGGGCACATGGCTTCTGCAGGACGTGAATTCGACTTCTGAGAATGGCTGGACCTTGGTTCCAGAGCCAGTGAAACCAAACAAGTCGCTGTCGGAAAAAGCGACACCCAAGCCACTAGCGCAACCTCAGAACGAACCCTACAGTGCGGCGGAAGTGATTACCCCAATCCCTCGCGTATGTGTCCAGAATTCCGCACAGTTTCAAGAAATTTTGGCTGAGGGCAGGCCGGTTATCATCGAAGGATCGGATATTGGCCCCTGCACAGAGCTCTGGACCAAAGAATATTTGATACGTGCCGTTGGTGGTGACCACAAGGTAGGCCGGATAATCTAAATAGTGCTCTGTTGATTTCGAAGACTAAACAAACATGAAACCAGATCATTGTGCACGAGGCACAGTCGGAACATATGAGTTTCCAGACCAAGAATTTCTCATATACAACCAAAACATTCGGCACTTTCATGGACGAGGTGTATGCAGGCGATCGTCAGTATCTTCGAAGCATCTCTGCTGAACAGCCGACTAAACTACCTGCCAACCTGGCTGCGGATTTTCCAAGTCTAAGCCATGATTTTTACCTGCCAGAGTCGCTCTCCGTAGTAACTGATAACACTCACAGCTCGCCACTCAGGATATCAGGACCGGTCACTTTATGGCTTCATTACGACGTAAGTGTGAAGTGAGTTACATGACGTGGATGAACAGGAGCACTGATCCTTATCTCCGCACAGGTGATGGCGAATGTCTTGTGTCAAATCCGTGGCGAGAAGAAACTCATTCTCTTCCCACCGAGTGATGTCCAATACCTTCATGTGCCTCCTGGGGCCTCAAGCTCTACCATCAGTATATTCCAAAGCAACGGATCGGTCGCCTCAATTCCCCATACGTCGCCACAAGAAGCAGTCTTGAAGCGTGGCGATATCCTATTCATCCCTCCATTGTGGCTGCACACGGCATCTCCCACGGGTGATGTCAGTGTTGCTGTCAATGTCTTCTTTCGTAATTTGTCCAAAGGGTATGCAGCTGGTCGGGATGTTTACGGGAACCGTGACCTGCAAGCCTACGAGAAGGCGAGAAATGATATCCAGAAGATGGCCAAGTCCTTCGATGGGCTTCCAAGTGATATGGCCCGCTTCTATCTGCTGAGGCTCGCCCAAGAATTAAAAGACAAGGCAGAAAAATAAGTCACTTACCGTGTCAATCAGACACTGACAACAAGTTGGATAAGATTTGAGATTTTGCCCTTAATGCCCAATCGCCCAGTAAACAAGGACTCATATATGCGCTGCGCCAAGTAGCGTGGACCTCTGTTTTTGAATGCCCGGGCTCCACAGTTCGGGACTAATGCATTACTTCAACAATCAAGGAAGGCCGAGAAAGCTGGTCTCTACCCAGTTGCACCAGCTCATGCGACGACCACTCTGGCAATGCGAGAAGGTCGCTGCGAACCTCATGTAAAGTGACCTCGATTTTCTACCCAGTAGTTCCAAGAGTATTACGTCTGGAGAAATGTAGGGAAGCGACCGAGGGTGCGGGTTCAATCATAGAAAAGGTACTAAGTTTGATAGACAGATTTGTGCATGGACGCGCCAGCATACTGTACGAAACACGTCTGGACAGTTGTTGTCTGTGAGTCATGCCAATGCTTTGGGAGTAGGAAACGCGCATTGTATTAGTGCCATGTCATAAACATGCATTACCCTTCTTCATATAGGATGAGAAACCTGAGGCTGCATGCCGACCCTAAGGAACGCCTGCTATTGTATTATTTACCTATCGGGTGAAGGTATGCGGCACTGTTCCTAACCAGTGGGAAGGTGGAAGCTGCCGATAGCAGAGTTTCGGGCACGTTGCGCAACGTCAGCATTTATTTGCTCGTTGAAAGGGAAATGGTCGCGTGCCCAATCAGAGAGTTACGACCCGTTAGTGTTATAATCCTTGGGCTTTTTGGCGATGAACCAGTGACACATTTCCTTGTCCCGTGCTGCAGGTGAGAAAGACGCAGGTCCCACGCCGAGGTTCAAAACCGTCCGCCTTATTGTTTGGAGGTAAAGGTATTAGAATTAAGATGGATGGATACCTTTAAAAAGTCAAAAACCAGATTGATAACTATTCTGCCACCAATCGGTACCTTTGATCCACCCCAAATCGGTAATAGTAGTGTGGGATAGAACGGGGATTATCAGATCTCAGCGTCATTCAAAGCATTTCCGACTCATGTGTTACTCGTTGAATAATCCGAGGGGGTGGGAAAGACGCATGACACAGCAGCACCATGGATCCATGCTTGATAGACATGGGTAGGAAATGGGAGGGAGACCATGCGGATGTCCAAAGCCAATAATCAAGACCAAGATCGAACCACTTCGTTTTAGTGGCTCTGGGGAGGTCCGAGGAACGATCCCATTCGCTGGGATGGACAATCTTGCTCCTTTCCTTGTGTCGCCTTCAGATGGTCCAGAGCGTTGAAAGGGCCCGTCCTCCCAGTCTTATTGGACCTTACCCTTGAAGTGTTGGCGTCAAGACTTCGGGGGGTTCTCTTCTCTTCGA